GTGTGGTAGCCCTGGTGTTGCCCCCACCGTGGACCTCCTCCCCACCAGAGCACACAGAGTCATGTGGGCAGCTTTACTCACAACACTGTATGTTAGATACAGCTATAAACTGCTTAAATGTACTGTTTCTTTGATAATATGAGTTCTCACAGTTCTTTTGTAAAACCTTTCTGCATGGAATCACTATTAGTTAGAACATTCGTAACTGGGCTGAAGCCTTCTTTTAGTTCATCCCTTCCTTTCCTTTAATTACTTCATCCTCAAAACTGTTATTCACGTAGGTTCACAAATACTACTTAACGTGACATGTAGCCAAACACTGGGAAGTTTGATAGAGTCACACTGCAGCACCGGCTGGTGGGTGCGGACGAAACCACGGGATTTGGGGCATCGTCACACGTGGGTAGTGATGACAGCCCCAGCCAGAGCACACTAGAGGGTGTGCAAAGCAAGTCAGTCAGAAGTATAGCCTTGTCGATGTATCGATATATGGGAGCTTGGCTTGTGAAGTGTTTTTACTGTTATAACCGATTTCAGGGGTATTTATTATTATTTTTTGAATATATAACTACAGGGATACTTCTTTTTGAATAATAAATTTCTCCTGAAACACAGCACAGCAGCAGCGAAGACTGTCATTTTGTGTCACCCCGCTGAAGGTGTCGTGCGGTGTGCTCTGTACCTCTCCACCCCACTTAGTGACGCTGCGGTTGGCAGTTTCTGCCCTGTCCTTGAGCCACCACTGATTCCAGACTGTTAGGGGTGCTCCAAGGGAGCTGTAAAGTGATGGGCTGTCAAGTGATGGGCTGTCATCCCCTTCCTCTGCAAGAGGCTGCTGTTGGTCTGTTGCCTTTATGGGTCTGTGTTCTGTAGTCTGCTTATGGCTTAATTCTTTAAACGTTTCCCAGAACTGCCTTTATTAGGAGTTTGTGGCTTCTGTGCAAAGTAAAGGAGGAGCCCTAGTGGCACAGTGGTTAAGCACTCGGCTGCTGACTGAAAGCTCGGCAGTTCAAACCCCCCAGGTGCTCTGCGGGAGAAAGGCGTGCCTGCTTCCGTGAAGATGACAGCCTAGGAAACCCTTTGGGGCAGTTCTCCTTTGTCCTCTAGCGGCGCTGTGAGTCAGAATCCACGCCCGACAGCAGTGGGTTTGGGTTTGGGGTTTTAGAAGAGTTCCGGGTCAAGCTTAAATGGCAGTAGCATTGTCTTTAACAGTGACATGTTTTCCTAAAAGATTTGGTGACTTCAGCTAAAACGTGATGAGAGGAGGTTGGCATTGTCTCTGAAGCTGTGTGGCCTTCAGGTCTCAGCCCTGTCCCCCTCGTGGGTCAGAGTCCTCCTGCCCTGTCCCGCTGCTGTCCATACTGGGGCCTCCATCGGGATGGACAGTTTGGGGCGGGGGCCTGGATCTGCTTCCCTGCAGTGGCTTATGGCACATCTGTCTCTCAGGTGACCTGGAGGCCCACCCGGTGCTGAAGGGTGTCAGTGCCCGGGACCGCTGAGGGCAGCCGCTGCCTGACTGTGAACAAGCACTGCAGATCGGCCCCAAGTAAGGGTGTCCCCGGGAGCACCCACGCTGGCCCGATTCGTGCCTCCTCCCTTTCTCTGCCCCTCCCCTCATGCCCCCCACTTCCTAGAACTTCACTTCCAAGAACTGGGGGGTGCCATTTCCCAGGTCATAATCTTTTAATGCACTAACTCGTTTTATTTTTATTGTTTTTTGACATTTTCTTGTGGTTTGAGTGAAAGGTTACAGAGCAGTTAGTTCTCCTTTCAACACTTAACACTTAGCTTTGTGACACTGGTTCCAGTTCCCAGTGTGACAGCACTCTTCCCACGTCCTCCCGGGGTTCCCCGTTTGCACTGGTCCTCCTGGCCTGCCCCTCCTGCCTTCAGAGCTTCGTTTGGAGAGATGCTGCCCTTGTGGTCTCTGTGCTGTGGTGGATTGCTCTAACCACCTTCCTAGTTATTGTTGAGGAGCTCTGGTAGCATAGTGCCTAAGGCACTTGACTGATCACCAGAAGGCTGGCGGTTCAGACCCACCAGCCACTCCTCGGAAGAAAGATGGATGGGGCAATCTACTTCCTTAGTGATACTGCCTCAGAAACCCAAGGAGGGGTCGCTATGAGTCGGGTCTGACTCAATGGCACACAACAACAACAGTGTATTGTTGACGTGTTACTGTTCACTTTATAGGCCTGTCCGTCGTTTGGCTCAAGGTGATTCTGAGGGCTGGGTTTAGTTCCAGCCTAGAAGGAGGTCTTGGGGTTCACCCCACCTCTGTCAGACCAGAGAGCCTGGTCTTTCCCAGGACATCTTAATGGGCCCGAGTCACCCCCATGCACTGCAGTGAACTCAGGCCCAACGGTCTTGGTAGCCTGGGGGTCCAGGAGGGTGGCCCCAGGGCTGATTCTTCCAGGTCCTGGGGTGTGCAGGCATGTTTGTGCCCTCTGCACCCTGAGCTTTAGTGGCTCTGCTCGCCCACAGCCAGCCCCCCTGGGTCGGCATGGGGGAGCCCCCAGACGGAGCCACCACGAGCTGCTCCTGGGGACTCAGCCGCCGTGTGGAGAGGCACTCTGCCTGGGGACACGGACCCGGTCTCCTCTCCTGCCGCGCTGGCGCTGTGGAAACCCAGTGTGCTCCTACAGCAAGGCCTCCGTTAGACAACAGAAGCGGGGAAATCTGAGGCCGCACAGTCTCTCACCTCTGAGGTGACTCCTGTTTTCTTCAGGGGAAAAGCAGAGGATGGTGACAGCCCCTGTTTGTTGTACCCCTACGGCAGGCTCGGCACGTGCTCCCAGCACCCTCTGAGCTGTGGTCAGCGTCCCCAGTTGGCAGAGGCCAACAGTGAGCTTGAGGGGAGTTTCGCGACGTGCCCAAGGTCGCACAGCTGTCGGGGGTTGGCTGGGGACTGAAACCCAGGTCTGTTGGACTGTAGAACCCGGCCTGTTTTCCTGCTATCCTGCTGTCTCCCCACAAAAATGTCAAGGGACGTTTAAGTGATGGTTTCAGTACTTGAGCAACTGGCATATGATGTTTGTAGTAAGTTCCATGTAAGTTCCGGCAGCTCCCGGGACCAGCTTGAGACGAGAACCATAGGCAGCTCCCCTCACTGCTGTTTGTTTTTTTCGTTTAGGGTCAAGGCGGAAGGTCCAGGGGCTGGGGAAGACCCCCAAAGGCAGCAGCTGAGGTCCTGCAGTGGGAGCTCTTCTCGGGGAGCCCTGAGGCCCCCTGTCCCTTCCTGGAGACTGAGCAGACGACGTTCTGAGAAGGACCCCCCTGTGAAGCCCCCCAGGGTGTCGCCAGCGTGGCGAGTGGACTGCCTGGGGCAGAATGCTCAGCCCAGCAGTGGTCCTCCACAGCCCAGCCCATGAGGTCCCGGCAGGGGATGCCAGCAGGGCCGGGGAGAAACCGCTTCGGGGCACCCCAAACTCCCGCCCCACTGCCATCAGCCGGGTCCGGCACACATCTCTCAACATCAGGGACAAGATATCAGAGTGGGAGGGGAAAAGGGAGCTGCCCACCCCGGCCTCGGGCAGGAGAGCAGATGGACCTGAGGCTGACGTGGCGTCCTGTGTGCCAGAGAGGAGGAGAGGCAGTGATGGTTTGAGGACGTGGGTCCCGGAGGCCAAGCCTGGCGCCCAGCCGGATGCGAAGAGTGAAGGACCAGTGAGACCCGGGGGACAGCAGGTGGCCCGGAGGCCAGACGTCACCCGGCCAGGTGGGGGCTATGGCACGCAGCACCCCGAGAAGGACAGCCTTTCAGTACTGAGGCAGGTCAGGCGGCTGGAGCAGGCCTTGAAGGACGGTTCAGCGGGGTTGGATCCCCAGCTCCCCGGGACCTGCTACTCACCGCACTGCCTGCCCGATAAGGCGGATGATGGACCCAGCCCTCTGGAGGGCCGCACCGCTGGCCGTGAGCCTGGCCGCAGGCTTCTGGACCTGGGGGGCCAGGAGCCCACACCTGAGCCTGCCGGACCCTGGGACCAGAGCCTGGATAGTGTGTATGGAGGATATGAGGGGTCCCCCCTGAGGCCCTTCATCAACCCCCTGCCAAAGCCCCGGAGAACGTTCAAACACGAGGGAGACGGGGACACGGCTGGGCAGCCAGGTGTCAGCGTCTGGAGAGAAAAGAGAAGTCTTCCCCCACTGCCCCCGTGCCTGCCCCCACCCCTGCCCTCCTCGCCACCCCCACCCTCGGTGAACAGAAGACTCTGGAATGGGAGGCCGAGGGCCAGTGCCGACCAGAGGTAGGTGACGGGCAGGCAGCCACTGTGATGTGACCGCTGGTTCTGTTGCAATGGTGCTCTTAAAGATGGCAGCCCCTGCTCATGCCTAGCATAGGGTTTGTGGATTGGACCTGGAAACGGGACGTGTGTGTTTGTGGTTGTCCTCAGACCACCTACAAAGGAGTATTCACTTTTGAAAAGCGGCCTTTGGATAAAATCAGAAACACAGACCGGTTGCCATTGAGTCCACTCCCGTTCACACTTGTCAGAGAAGAGCTGTGTCCGCAGCGTTTTGAGTCTGATTACTCAGAAGTCGATTGCCAGGCCTTTCTTCAGAGGGCCTCTGTATGGACTTGAACCCCAAAGGTTGGGACCTTTCAGGCAGCCTCCAAGTGCCTAATCATTTGTGGCACCCAGGGACTGAGCACTTGTAATCTGAGCAGTAACCAAGAGTTAATGTTGGCAGGCTCTGAATCTGTGCTAAGCCACATGCAGTCTGCTATTAAGACCTCCACTGTTGCACGGAGCTCTGGTGGCTCAGTGCCTAAGACGTTTGATTACTAGCCAGAAGGGTGGCAGTTCAAATTCACCAGTTGCTCCTCAGAAGGAAGTTGGGGCGATCTACTTCCCTAAAGATTCACTGCCTTGGAAACCCAGTGGGGGTCACTGTGAGTCAGAATCAACTTTACAGCAGTGGGCTTTCTCGTTTTTGGTTTATTGCATGGAGGAGCCCTCAAGGCACAGTGATTAAGCACTGGGTTGCTAAGCAAAAGGTTGACAGTTCAAATCAACCAGCAGCTTTGTGAGAGAAAGATGGGATAGTATGCTTCCGTAAAGATTGACAGCCTTGGAAACCCTGTGGGGCAGTTCTCCTCTGCCCTATAGGGGCTCAGTGAGTTGGACCCGACTCGTCAGCAGTGGGTTTGGGTTTTGGTTTATCACTTGGTGCGTTGGATCTTTCTGGGCCCTTCCTCTTGTGCTTTTCCTTGGGCTGGGCTCTGGAAGCACACCGCCTGCGTTGGACCCCTGGCCCTGCACTTTCTAGGATGTGACCTTGAGCAAGTTACTTGACCTCTGGAGCCCTCGGAATCCTCATCTCTGCCTTCCCCACCGGGAAGATCTTACCTGTTACAGTAAAGCGTGTCAGTGCTTCCAAACACAGTCTCTGCTTTGCAGACAGTTTCTTTTATGCTTTGAAACAGTTTCTGGTTCCTCTCTGTCCCATGCTAATAGGTTTGATACCCGCTAATCAGCAGCCAGCTTTCCAGCGGCTCTGGGAGCAGTCTCTGCTCACCACTGTGCCGTCCTTCCTCCTGTGTTTCTTGACCCCTCCTCTTGACCTTGGCCATGGGCCTGTAGCTGCTTTTGCCCAAGGCCCTCAGCCATCTCCACCTCTTCCTCTTACCTGACCACTTGTTGAATCGCATTTTGTAGTTTATCGTTTATCTGTGTTGTTGGTGTTAGAACCTGGGCGGCACAACGCCAGCAGTTCGACAGTTTGCACACACGGTTTAGTGACCTGATGGCCTTCTTCAGGTCCTGCAGCGATTCTCGCCCCCCTTGCTGAGTCGGTCCTTCCCCGCTGCGTGAACTCCCTGCCCCCCAAGGTTCTCGTTTAATCCTTGAGTCGCTCTTCACTTGGCCTCTCCCGGTATTTAAGGAACAGCTGTTGAGGGCTCCGTCCACAGCGCCCTCTTCCCTCGGCTTCTGGAACGCCCCGTCCCTGTTGCCCCGCTTCCTGCCTGCTCTCGCATTGCTGTCTCTTCTCCCTCCACAGTCCGAATGACCCGTCCTCACCCTAGACCAGGGGAGGCCGTGTCCTGTCCTCCGTCTGCACTCCTTAAATGGTCTCCAGTGCCACGGCTCTGTGTCACTCACACGTTCATGGTTCCCACGTTCGCTTCTGCAGCACCGCGTCCTTTCCCAGCTTCAAGCTGGCGTGGGCCCCTCCTGCTTAGGGCCCTAATAGTCCGGCCCTAACGTGTGCCAACCTAAATTCTCAATCCAGGCTGGTACTAGCGTCTCCTCCCAAGGTGTTTGCCTCCTCAGCTGGCACTGCCCTCCAGTTCGTTACTTCATCTGAAAGCCACGGATCCCTCTTTCCCACATTCCCCCACCTTAGTCACCAGCAGATCCTTTAGTTCTGGGTTGGCTGGTTGGTTTATTGTGGTTAAAAAATACATGTCTAATATATAAAAACCCAAATCGGCCAGTTAGCCACTCTTAAGTGCAGACTTCATGAATTCGTTGTGCATTCACACGTGGTGGGAGCATCACCCCGTCTCCACAACTGCTTCGCCCCCAGCAGAAACACGCCCCGTCAAGCAGCACCCCCCACACACAGAGTCCCTGGGAACCACATGTCTTTCTGTCTCTGTGAATTACCTGTGGCAGATACTGTGTCAAATACGTGAGACCGTACACTTGTCCTTTTGTGACGCGCGTCTTTCTCTCGGCATGATGTTTCCGGGTCATCCCTGCCGCGTGCATGAGGACTTCATTCCTCTCATGGCTGAGGGCTGTCCCCCGCGTGTGCAGACCATGTTCCGTTTGTCCGTCCAGCAGCTGACGGGCATTTCCGCTGCTCCCGCCCGTTGGCTGTTGTGAGTAGCGCTGCTGTGAACGTCGGTGTAGATTGTTTTACGTCCCCGTGAGGCAGCTTCCTGCTGTCCCCAGTGGTCTGTCCGTGGGTCCGCCTGCGTTCCCTACATGGGTAATCATACTGTCTGTGAAAAATCACCTTCTGCCGTCTTCTTTTGCCTTCGTACCTGCTGGTTCTTTCCCCTCCCCGACTGTCCCGGCTGATCCTTTCAGGAGCGTGTCGAACAGCCTCGCCTCGCTCCACCTTTACTGGCTGCTAACCAGGAGGGTGGAGGGCCAAGTCCACCCAGCAGCTCCTCATAGGCAAGGCCTGGAGAACTGCTCCTGGAAGCCAGCCCCTGGGGACCCCGTGAGCACAGCCCTCTGATGCACGTGGGTCACCAGGACTTGGAACTTCAGCCCCCTGGTTCTGATTCATATGAACCCACCCTGACGTTTTGGGTCATGGATTACTGTCCTTTCACGGTACGCTGAATTCAGTTTGCTAACATTTTATTTAAGTGTTTTGTGTCGGTATTCCACGAATGGGCCTGGTCTGCACTCTGCTTTCCTTATGTTTGTAGGCTTGGGCCTCAGTGTCGAGCAAGGTTTGTAAGAATTGGGAGGCGTCCTTCTTCTTTGGTGTTCTGAGCAAGCTTCTAGTTCCAGTCCCACTCCCAGTCCAGTGTCCAAGCCCAGGCCCTGAGCGCTCTCGTGGCTTGTCTGCCCTGTCAGGTTTTCCAACAGCGGCCCTTCTGTGCCCCTCTGACTGTTTCTGCAGAGAAGCCCCGCTCTCCCAGGGGCCCAGGCTGGGTCTGGGATGGTGGAGCCCTTGACCTGTGTCCTTGCCAGGTAGGCAGACTGACTGGTGGAGTTACTGCCTTGCTCTCCCAGCCACCCCTGCCCTCCTCAGTCATCCAACGCGTTCTTTGAAACCCGCTGGCGTTACTCTGTTTCCATCCACATGCGGACGTTTTTCTTGGCCAGTGTGGGTGTGGCTGCATCAGCTGTTCTCAGGATTTGGCCTTTGGATTTTCTGTTTGTTTCACAGAGACTCGGACAGTGCAGCTGGTAAGGGCGGGAAGCTCGTGTTCAACTGTCACAAGAACCAAGTGTGCTCTTGATCGTGGGCCTGTCTCAAAAAGAAGTCTCAGGCCAAGCTTGGCAGACGTGCTCTCTCCGAGGCAGGGGGCGAAGCCGCGGCATGGGAAAGCCATGATAGGACACAGACTTCCAAGGGTTAGGATGACATGGCCTCCTCGGAGACGAGCCCACTTCCTCTCACGGCCTCCTCAGAAGCTGACAGAAGCTGAGCAGTGGCTCGGGCCCTCAGCTTGAGGAGATGCTCTCTCCTTTCTCTGGTCGTTCTCTCCTCGCCTTCCCTCCCCATCCCCCCTTTTCTCCTTCCCCTCTCGCCCCCGCCCCCCTGCTTTCTTCTCTGTCTTCTTTCTTCCCGTGTTTCTCCCCTCCTTCACTCCTCCAGAGCCCCAGGAAACAGTGCAGGGACTTCCACCCTCAGCCCCAAACTGGAAGATGAGGAATCCTCCAGTTCTGAACATGAGGTTCTTCCTGCCGGTGACCTCGGCTGCGTGGGTCTCAGGGCGTGTGGAGAAGGACCGGCAGTGGGGCCCTCAGGACAGCACTGAGCAAGAAAGTCATCATTTTTTCGCGTACGCAGCGTCCTTGAGTCCACGGGGATCTACCTATCCAAAATTTTAACCAAGTGCAGGTTTTGTATTTGAGTTTACTTTGAGAGTGTGACAGCGTTTTGGTCTTTATGAAACCAGATAACTAAGTTGACCAAACTGTCAACTTTTCAGTGGGTTGTTTGGGCGGCGTGGAGGCTCAGCCTTTCTTTGGGGCTTTCTTACAAGAATTCCAGAACTCTGTGAGGATATGATGCCTTGTTCGTTATGTGGCTGCCAAGTCGCACTGTGCTGTTAGCAGTCCCAGAATTCCCATCTTTTTAGGGCACCAGCCCACAGCTGTCATCCATGTAACAGTCAGGTGAGCTTAGCGGCCATACCTGCCACTATGAGCCTGTCTCAGTCACCCTGATGTCCCCAAGGAACCTGTGAAGTACATGTCTAAAAGCTGTTTGATCTTCACAGAGTATGTAATCTTCACAGGGCGAACAGGCTTGATTGATTTGAGGGTTAGAGCAAGAGTTACCTTGAAATAATGTAATCCGCGGAAGTTGTGTTGGAGAAGTGGGAGTGGAGGAAGATGCTGTTCGATGATGGAAGAAGTGGGCTATCGGGTCAGGTTTCTCATTGGGTTTTAGACAGGATGACAAGCAGAGAGGATTTTTCCTTCTGGTATTTCCATGTAGGGTCGAGAAACGCTGGTGGATGTCTTGCTGCTCAGCAGAACAGATACCTCATAACAGCATGGCATTCGTCGACTCCACACATCAGGGGCGTGGTGGCCCTCCCTGTGTG